CAAATTAGGTAATGGCACACCTTTTCCCTGACCATCTGGCTTCAGGGGACATTGCATCTAGATATGCTTAAATATCTTTATTTCAAGGTTGAGTGGACCCCTCTGCATCATTACAGGAAGGCAGTCTCAAGTTACAACAAACAGCAGTGAATATACAATGCATAATAACAGGCACCAGTGTCCAGGCGTATAGTACGCAGAAGCCAATTTGAGCCTAAAAATGTTTTTATTTTGTTTAGATAGTTTGCATTTGGTGTATAATCCGCAGGGCCCGATTTCCGCGCCCAGTGCATAGTCCGCCAAGCTGGTGCGTTGCATCTTCGTGCTTTTTTTCCTGAGTGGCATTTTCTTCAGAAGTTCTTCGGCGAACGCTATTGAGCCTGAAGAACTGCTCTTGAGGCCCATATCTAGCCACTGAGCACACACAAGCACAGAAAATAACACTTGGTGCGAAGTACAAACGAAGCTCCTGGGCGGAAAGCCGTGAATGCCAAACGAAAAACGTCGGGTGACGGCGACTGACTGCGTTGAGCGCCTTCGACGCCTGCATCGCTGCGGTGGGTGGTCGTAGCTATAGTCGTAGCAATGCTAGCAAGATGATCTTCACTTCAAGCAAGAAATCTTGCCATACCATAGACAAGATATGTGTGCAAGTGTTCGACGACGTGGGCTCTCTCACATTGGTGCAGTTATCAAGAAAGCTACATATCAACAGTGTTGTGTGTTTGAGGCTGAAACTATGACGCATATTTATCTAAACCTAAATTTATCGGTCTGCGGCTACAAACATTTTCGTTGATGTTGCTTAGATGATGTAACCGTTCAGGCCCCGCATTAAATGGTGTTGCAAACTCTTCGGTTGTGTATGAAAACCTATTTTTGCCCTAATAAAAGACATTTTCAAAAGGACACGTGTCTTCTGCTGACACATATCTTCCAATTTACAATGCAGAGGCAAACAGAAAATCAACTGCGTACATCTACCACTTAGCATAAGCACCTTTGGCATTCATTCTTGAGCACACTCAAATATAAGTTTAGTTTGCTCTTGTTTTAGAAGCTTAGCCCTGTTCTGTAAAAAGAAAACAGTGAAAAAACCTTTACCTTCGTTTTCCTTCTCGCATTTAATACAGACTTGTTTGTCAGCAGATATCACCGTGGCACACACAACTCGAATGACTGATGAGACTATTGCTATTACAATAAGGCTTTCCACAAGAGCCAAAACGAGGCTTGTAGGGGTGCACAAGCACATCGAAATGAGATTGGCGCTTCCGGGGCTTGTTTACATTATGCGTAAAAACAGGACGATCGGCGACCAGCTGATCGCAATATAACACCAAGGATACCGATGTTTCGATACATAGAACGCAGGATAAAGACCTCAATCGTCCCTTGTATGCTGTAGCTGTCATACTTTCCATCCAACCGCTTTTTAGCACAATTAACTAGAACAACCAAAGAGTTCGCAACACCCTTTAATGCGAGGCCTGAATGGTTACATCGTCTAAGCAACGTCAACGAAAATGTTTGTAGCCGCAGACCGATAAGTTTAGTCTTAGATAAAGTACGCGTCATAGTTTCAACGCGTGAACATTGTTGATATATGTACCTTACTTTGGACCCGCGTATAGATTCGGTTCAACTTGATGACAGCTGCACCAGCGTGAGAGCTCACGTCGAACACTTCCACACATATCTTGACTATGGCAAGATTTCTTGCCTTCGATTGGCTTGAACACTTCATCTGCAGCATCACGGTAGGTCTTGGTTGAAACGATGATCGTCTCGCACACGGCAACAAACAGAGAACGACACGCTTTGTTATATTTATACGCTACCGGTCTACGGGCGTCGCAAATCTATCCCCCTCTTGTCCGCCATGTTGGATCGATCGGAGCGCCCCCTATATTCGCTGAAACTCCTCAATAGTTGAATTTAGATTTCCAGTTTCCCACGTTATGTGCCCGTCACACTTCTGACTGGTATTACATAAAACTAAGTCATGTTTTTCCACCAGTTCTAGTAATATGCTTCCAGTTGAGTCCGTATACCCATCCAGACCCTCAATATGGGCATTCATGTCTCCCATAATAACTATTTCAGAGCCTTCCCCTAGCTCACTAATGTCTCTTGATATGCAATCAATCATTTTTCTGTTTTCCTCTTTAGCACCTGTCCCTGTCCATAAGTAAACAACTCCAAGGACTGTTGATTTCCCAGCGACTTTTCCTTTCAGCCACAAATGTTCGGCGCACTCCTTTCTGATCCTTTGAAAGTTCATATTCTTCTTAATAAATGCTCTAATTCCACCTACCTTCCTCGTTCTTTCCATTCTGTTGCATTCTTCCCACACATAGTCAGGGTTGCAAGGTGGCTGCTCCATGTCTCTGAGAAGTGCTTCCACAAACCCGGTCATACACCATTAAATCCTCCTTTCTTAGTTGCTCCTCTACCTCTTCCCATTTTAGCCTATTTCTACCACCCTGCATGTTAATATATCGAATGTCTGATTGTGCTGTTTGTTTATACCTGTTCTTACGTTTTCTCCTCTTTTTAACCCTGGGTGCCTCTCCTGACTTTGTTGGGTTTTCAGTTACTTCAGTGCCCCCAGGGCCATGGGTCCCCCAAAAAAGCAGTTACCATGCGGCCCGGACAGGCTGCACGGACACGCAGCGCCATCTGGCGGCGGTCGTTAAAACGTGCGGCGACGAGGCTCCAATGGGAGCCTCGTCGCGCACGCCAGCCAATGGGACCTTTTGGAATCAGGGAAACTAGGCGCCGTTTTCGCGCTTCAAACTGATGACGTCGGCTCGCTCCATGGGACCCCCCAGTTGATGCTTTCGCATTAAAAACCGTCAGTTGTCAGCCAGTGCTCGTGTCGTCCAGTCGTTCTTCGTCCTTGTCAGTCGCGTTGTTTATATTATGCATATAGCAATCGGGTGCACGTGGTATGCGTAGAGGGGGGTGAGTGATCGGTTTGGCCGGTCGTGTTGCTATTATTTGTGTGTTCTGTTTGTACGCTTGGGACGGTCCATTGTATCGTGCTTTCCGCTTATCTCTGTATTTAACGCTTGAATGGCGAGTTAATTACCAGCGGCACAGTTCGCTGTAAAACATTCATCGCAACCTAAAAAAAAACAGCTTTTTCATAAACTTTTAGAACAGAAACCCGCTATTTTTACAAAAAAAAAAACTGTTATTCTAAAAACGGAATTTTGTTTTTTACAAACTTCCAAAACAGAAATTGCTTTTCTTTACAGAAACTCTGTTATTTCTAAAAACAGAAGCTGTTTGTCTACAAGGCCATGGGCAACAGAAGTTCTGTCATTTTACAGAATAGACCAAGATCCGAAAAGGTTATTTTTTAACAAAAGATTACGGAAACAGAAAAAAAAAGACGGAAACATACATTTGTTACAAAAAAACGGCCAAGTTGTTTTTGGGGACAGAACGAGCGGGTTGGTATGGATAGTTAAACTTGAGGAAGAAAACGAGAAAGGACGGACAAACACAAACTTCCAACAGTTGGAAGTTTGTGTTTGTCCGTCCTTTCTCGTTTTCTTCCTCAAGTTTAACTAAGTTGTTTTTCTTTTCACATAGTTATTTTTTACAGTGGGGGCAACAATCGCCGGCAACCTGATGCTTGCGACGCGCGAACATTTCTCGGTGAAAGTATACGGTTATAGTGGGATTTGTGTTTGTCCTTCGTCCCTCTTGTTCCCCTTCTCCGGGGATTACTTTCGTCGGTGTACGGTGAGTGAAGGTACCATGTATTCGAAAAATCCGTCGGCCACCATTTTCCCATTGACATTTTCAGAAAATCTCTTATAACTTTTGAATAAAATATCGGTTCGCGCTGAAACTTTGGCATCTGCTTCAGACCTCTAGCGCTACCTTTGGGCGAAGAATAACCGTAGTTTATTTTTCCGGTAAAAAAAAAAAAAGAAACTGTAAATTTGTTTCGGGTGTTGTTTTACGCGTGTTGCCTTACGCGGTACACCAGTTGCCCTAACACGATTTATTTTGGCGGGTTTTTGATTGCGGCTGAAAGAATCAGTTGGATGCACGAATTACAAATATCTTGCAGTACTTGTACAACAATAATGCCTGTGGCAGATTCTTTTGCGTGTGTGTGTGCGGGGGAGGGGTTATGTTTTAATTGCAGTGTGATTATGACTAATAAATGTAAGGGTATTTTTTAATTTATAATACAAAGATTGTCAGTCTGCTGTGCTACTTGTCATGTATTTTGTGCAATAGTCGCTCTTGTGCATTTCCTCCCTTCTAGCAGTTCACCCTTTCCTGTTGCTTCACATGTATGAGTACCACATGCACAAAGCAGATTGTAAAAATGTGTACACTCATTATTATGCAAATAGAGTGTTTGATAAAGCAAAAGGAAAGCCATTCTTAGGCCTTTTTCCAGCTCGTCCTCGTGTTATTATTGATGATAATTTTTTGTTGTTACGTATTTAATTATTTTTTACTGTCAACTGATATTATTCAACTCGCTGCGCCGCATTCTGTTCTGCTCGAGGTAGTCTTTATTTTGATTCTTAAGGCCCCAGCTGGATCGTCGAGCCTGTGTAAAAAGGCATTGCTGCAGTTCCTTACAGCACCTCCATTTCGCGGAGTTTCGGCGTCTCGTAATGTGGCCGTGTCACAGAGTCTTTAAGCCTACTCGAACCATGTGGCAAAACGTACCGGGTGGGTCTTTCGTATTGTTAGAGACTGTATTTACCCCATGCAGGTGTACATACTCCCACAATACGAAAGACCAAGCCAGCGATGCAGTTTATGCGACGGTGCTATAGTACAATTTGACCTGAGGCCCTTGGTTTTTACGGAGAGAATAGAATAAAGGTTCGTTTCTTTTTTTAGTTCAAGCATTGTGAGCCTGGCCAAAGTGAATCTAGCCCTTGAAAATGCCTCGTAAAATGGGTCTTTCATATTGTTGGAGGCTGTACGTGTCAGGGATCGCGCTTATGAGTCTCACGTACGGGGCCAACGCATTTTTATTGGTCTTTCAGTTTTGTTCGATTTCACCAGATAGCATGCGTGGACACGCGAGTTACGAAGCAGCCAACGGTCCAATGAGACTCCCAACGAAATATGCGCAACGCAGACGAGCACACGTGTGGTTCAGAAGTACACTTTGCAACATCGTGTGACAGAGCATGCTGACAGGCCAGGGTGCCGCAACTTTCCGAACCAAGTTTCATGTTTGTCGATGCATATCTTCGAATAGGCTGAGGACAATGAACTCCGGAAGACCGAGAGGCACCTGAAACCGCGGGCATGTAGGAGGCGGCTATATGAGCACCTCGCGCAAGGCTCGCAGGAAGGGGCGCCGGTATAAGATGCTCAGGCGTCGGCGTCGGCGTCGTCACTGGTCTTCTTGTTCTTGTTGGCGGACGGATTGAAGAAGCCACTGAAACGTCCGAAGACGTCCGTAGCGGTCTTAGACACCGTGTCCCCGGCTCCCTGAGCCCAGGTCTGGAACTGGCCGGCGGCGTTCTTCAAGTTCTCCGGGACGTCCTCGGCTACCTTCTGCGCCTGGCCGCCTGCGATAGAGCATATGCGTTGGAATTTAATCGACCCCAGCGGAGCTTTATTTCCTTTCACTCAAATGTCACGACCGCAGCCGACGTATGCGATTCAACAGAACCAATATTAGGCGGCACCAAAAGTGCCTCATCATGGTGATCGTCGTTTTTGTGCGTTCGCTTTGCGCATTCGCTGTGCGTGATTGATTTACCCAGGGGTAGAAAACGCACAAAAATGACAAGCGCCATGACGATGTACTTTTTCCACTGCATGACTGTCTCTCTCGGATTGTAGCGTTGGCTGCGCTCCGAGTTAAAGTGAAGCAGTTTATTGAGGTCTCGTCCACTTTATTTCCCAGCGCCAGGTAGAGGGGTCACTGGTCACCAAACTTATACGGAAAGCTATGTCTTATCTCGTGGGAGAGCCGTCTTGGTGGAAGTTGAAGAGCTGCCCTCCATGACGTAGCACTCGATAGAACAGCCCGAGCGGGGGAGGCGACGCTCGCTCAAGCTCGATATCGCGGCTGGAGCGCAGGCTACGCATTTTTCGGCAGTCACACCTATGCACCAGAGAGAGTAACGAAAAGCGTCGATGGACCGGCAGCCGAAATTGCTGCGTTGTCCCCGGTACTCCCACGATTTCGGGCTTGAGCGAGCGTTGCCTTCCCTGCTCGGGCTTTTCGATGAGCGCTACGCCGTGAAGTATAGTCCTTCTGCTCCCGCCGGTATAGCGCTCCAGTGAGATAAGACCCGATTCGCGTGTTCCGTATAAGTTTGGTGTTTCGTCGGAACTGCTGTAACAATAAAAAAAAAATTATTCCAAGTTTTTAATTTGAGTGTTCCACCTCAACAGGGGCGGCGGAGAAAAGCTCACCGGAGAAAAACTTCTGCAAAAACTGTCCGACACGGAGAAAAGCTCACCGGCCCTTTGACGGATGCGGAGAAAAGCTCACCTACGGATCTAAGACCGAGCGTTCACTCAAGTGAAATAGGGTCACTCAAATGAAGTGTGCTGGGATGCCTGAATCGCATGCGGAACTTACTCTTAAAGTATTTATTTTTACATTTTTATCGTTCCTAAAATATAAATTTATTTTTTTTTAAATTAAAATTTTAATATTACGCTAATTAAGCAATAACGGAAGGGGGGTACAACCAGTGTCCAGGGCTGCAGCTCGGATAGTTTCTGGATGACCTGCCGTGTTTCAAAATGCATATAGTAATAAATAATTTATATTTTCTAGCTACAGTTATATTGGTCTGATATAAATTAAATGAATCTGACTGGAATTTTTATAAATCGTATTTTTTATTCATTATTTCTTTTCTTATTTTTTGCCCACAGCAGAGCGACCTGATATCAAGTTTGTGCAGTAACACCATCAACATAAACGAACGATGGGCTTCTTTTTTTTTTTTTCTTACATTCTGGTGGTTTATATTAAAACTAGTGCAGTGGAAATTCCTCGTTCGGGGCACAAACTTACGCAATAAATGTTTGACGCTAATCAACGCCTTCTCCAAGTAAAATGCAAATAACCGCTTCGCGCTAACTCTGTTGCATGGTGTACCGCCTGCGTGAGAGGCGCCTAAAACCTTGGTAGCACTACTCCTATTAAAGTCTAACGACCAATTTACATAATAATTTAATTCGAGGTGAGCTCTCCTCTGGGTCTGCCAAAAGACGGGTGAGCTTTCTTTCCGGACCCACACAAAAGTGGGTGAGCTTTACTCCGATTAGATTCCTTCCGGTTAGCTTACCTCCGGTGAGCTTTTCTCCGGGATTCATATAACACATCGCGTTATTTAAATGCATGGAATACACACAGGTCTAGAACATTCTGCGGAGATAAATCGGTGCTCCGTAGTAACTTACCCACACTGCAAACTGGACTCCTAAATATTAACATCACTTCGGAATCACTAACAAAAAAGTTGCTAATTTTATCTGTTCCATCTAATTAATTTATTCCCCACCCCTACTCGTTCCGACCTGGATGAGCATCATACCGGCGTGCGCTCGTGTATCACTAATGCACGTTAAAAAGCCCACTTTAGCGGTTGTACTGCACTGGCTAAATTGCTCATCTATAGCTGAGAGGCAAGTCGCCCGTAGAGGGAGTTAACTTCAGGCTGTATAAACATACAGACAACACAGCCTATATACAGTATAATGCCTAAAACACTTATAGATAACTTTTTTCGCGTGCGTTAGATTTGTGTGTGTGTGTGTTGTCTGTATAAACATACAGACAACAAAGCATATATATAATATCTAAATAACTTATCGACAACTTTTTTCGCGTGCGTTAGATTTGTCCGTGCGTGCGCGTGTGCGTGTGATGGGAGAGCCTCGTCAAGGTGCTTCGTGCAGCTTCTTTTTTTATCCCGGTTCCTCACTCCTCTCGAGTTAAAATAAAGATTATTACATTATACTATATTCTATTCTATTCTATTCTATTCTATTACAATACGGCTTAAGGGGCAACTTGCGCCACCAGTCCAGTTTTTTTTAACATATTATATTTTATATATATATATATAGATAAACTGAGGTCAAGACTTTCAATATTATGATTTCTAATACTTCTGATTTGTGTGCCGGAAGCGCCTCTTCACAACCGGGTGCGTGCACCATCTACCCTGCAAATCACCAAAAAGGAAATAATAAAAATGATCCATCCTTCCCTCAGGTTAAGTCATCAGTCAGATAACCTCTGCTTGGTTGTCTCCACATACCCAACATAACCAACATTCACTATAAATTAGCCCTGCCTTCGGCAACTGCCACGAGGAGGAAGTGAACGAAACCGATAGCAGCATTGACTCAAGGTAGCTTGCGGTAGTAGGCGACTGTCGCTGCGGGCAGCTAACTTCCGAATGACGAAGTGTAGCTCCCCACATGCTCTCACGACGTCACGGTGCATGAAGGAATTTAAAATTGTCCCGGTCGGTTCTGATAAGCACGGGAACTACATGAGCGTGTTGTGCCTTTTACAGTAAAGTATCAAGTATTCAGGTATTTCATCCTCCTCTCCCAATGTTCCATACACTCCATCTACTAATATCTTACTTGGTCCATCTGAGTCCGCAACCCGTCCGTACTGACCCCGACCAATTAAAGAACTTCTCCCAATAAAATCACAACTTTCTCAAGCACTATCCACCCGAGAGAAAAGGATGCTGGCGCCCTCTCTTGCGCGCTTGGCGAAATCCGTTTGAAACACCGATCACGTGATGGCGATGAAGCGCCTTATTCGAATTACTTCTTTTGCCACCCAATAACGAGCACTTCGGCCAAACAAACGGCACCAAGCGATCAAAACGGTCATTGGTGGCCTACTCACTGGTGTTTCACAAAATCTTATTGCGCGTAGATGTGAGGGAAGCGAACACATGCGTGGTCGTGTGAATAACTCCGAGCTGTGTGCCGGCCGACCGACGGCCGAGCCCGTGGAGCGAAATCTCGCGCTGCAGAACGTTTTGGATCCTGGATTCGATCTCTACCCCTGCGGGTTTCAATATGAGCGGACATTTGACGCGGTGTGCGGTCCTGTATTCACCACTGCATATAACGCCCGCTAAAGACTTCAGTCTAGGGGTCGCACTGCAATGGCCCCATCACCCCTCTGGGGTGAAGACGGCAGATCCCCTTATAAGGACTAGCATAACTTCCCGCTGTCTGAACTTACTACACACAGCAAATATAATTCTTGAATCTGTGCGCCTCTTTGCTTTTATTTTGATACGAAACACGAGAGTGACGGCGGATCTCTTTTATTCGCTTACATTTAAGCTGAACTCCCCCAGACAAAAATGCCGTTGTCAAAGTGTGATCACGGATTGTGAGTTTTGTCTGTTTTGAGCTCCGGTAACAGGATGCAGCTTGCCCTCAACACCTTGAAACGTGAAGCTGGAACTCCAATAAGTTTGCGTGTATTTCTTGCCTTATGCATTTTTCAACGGTGGGACCATAAACACTCCTTTTGGGGGCTGTGTTTCGCAACGCTAAATCATTCAAAAAAAGAAAAAAAAACGCAGTATAGTCAAATTAATAAGGTCTCTGACATAAAACATCTCTTCATAAAATAGCTACTTGTGACACTGTAGTACAGTGCGTAAACAAAGGCTACCTTTATGGAAAAGGCACGACAGGCGCTTATCAACAGGGGCTACAAGTTTCGTATTGCAGGGCTTCCGCACAAATTAATATTGAAAGAGTTAGCTAATTAGTATGTATTAATTGGCCAGTTTGGCACGTAGCACAATATATCCTGACTTGTTCAAAAAGGCTTTGAACAATACTGCATTGATTTAACGCGCGTAGCGTGTACTGCAGCTTCTAAATCTTGGCACAATTTAGCTGAAATACCTTGTATACCCAAAATTTTAGGGTTTTCCGGCGCTCGCTTTTGCTTCACGTACTGTGAGCAACAACAAAACCAGGCTGGTGTTTTGTGGAGAGATGTTCCACAGACTGGCGTTCTGTGGAACACCAGACTGGTGTTTTATGGAACATCAGTCTGGCTCCCTTCCCCCGGCGAACTTTTCACGCGCCAAGAATCCACGCATAAATTATAAAAGTCCGAACGGGAACGTTACCCACACCACACATAAACTAGACCCACCGGACCATCCCGCATGCGCCGCAAGTGGCAGGTGCCCCTCAGGACGAACACGCCATGTGGGACCGCCCCGTCACAAACCGCAGTACTCTTGAAATCACAAGCAAACTCTCTCCTCGCCCCATGAGCTGGGAAGACTGGGTCGCTGCACTTGACCCTGCCATCTTTAACTCATATTGAACTGCTCTTCTATGCCATATCAAAGAAGCCCCATCTCTACAACATCGACGAAAGCGACTTAAGGGTGACTTAACTTGAGGTGACTGCAAGTCACAGTACCCTCACCCGCACCCTAAAGATGGGGTTAATAAAGCGTTTTTACTCTCGCGCACGGTGTCGTTTGTCTGTGTGCATGTACGACAGGTCGAGGCTGGAGCTCGCACTCACCGAAGTTCCTCAGCGTCTCGGTGAAGTCGCCGCCTCCTAGTCCTCCTAGTCCTCCCAGTCCTCCCGACGGACTCGGGGCCTTCTGTTCTTCGGCTGGAGCCGTGCACACCAGCGCCACGAGGGCCAGGGTCAGGGCCGCGATGCTCAGGTAGTGGTACATTCTGGATCCTCTGGGCAGATCTCCTGGGAGGGTTAGCATCGAACAACACATTTCGTTTGAGAATACAGGGTAGTACTCGAAGACAAGGGCAAAAGGAAAACAACTGGACACCACTGTGCGCTACAGAAAAATCTAATAACGAACACGTAAAAGGGCCCGATGTGCTAGAAATCGAACTGAACAGCGCTGATATTTGGGCGAGTTGGTGCTGCATTTGAGAGTGCATGATAAGGCTCGAACATTTTTAGGCTTCGGTTCTCTTTGTCCTTGTCTTAGAGTGCTCCAATGTATTCCCGAATTCAGCCTCAACTCGCCCAACAATCAGCACTGTCCAGTTTCTTTCTTTCTTTCTTTATTTATTTGTGCATTTATGTTATTTACAAATACCCTCAGGGCCCCTAGGAGCATTACAGGGGGGAGTGGTTGGTCAGTGCGAGGCGAAACTTGGTGTTATCGGCATTTGTGACGATGTCATCGAGAAGGCCATTCCAGCCCATGATAGATTCGGGTAGAAGTGAACACTGATAGGCTGTGTATTTGGTTTGCGTCATGCCATCATGCATGCATGAGTAATCCAGTTTTGAAGAAACGTAGGTAAGGGCTAAGGACTTCGTTTCTCGAAAAATGGTATTTTATTCCAATGCGTGGCATGCACGTGACGTTATCAAGCCATACTCCTTGTCATTCCTAGGTGTGAAATGGTGCGAAATGTGTGCTGTAGAAACACCAGAATGGCAGCAGACGTGACGTCTGTGAAGCCGAATACCTTCTGCGTGCTGGCATCTATGTCTATATACTTGGCTGTTCATCGCGTTCAGAGAGTGTGCAGCAGCGTATTCTCTCAGAACTTACCGAGTCTATACCCAGCTTTCAGGTACTTTTCGTCTGTGCGATATCTTTTTCAACGATGCATCCATCCAAAAATTCCCTAGTTCTTAAAAGGTTTACTGCAAAACAGAACCGCTAAATACACGCCGGGTGCTATTCTAGCGAATCACTGTAACAATATAAGCCCCAAATATCGAACCAAACATGCGACGATCATTGTCCTCGTAGAATGTTTAATTAAACTACCAGAATGGTTCGGTATACCCAAAACGACGAACGTTGAGTCACGTTTTATTTTCTAAACTACTTCACTTTCATTTTGCGTTTCTCCGTTGCTATGATTGTGAAAGCAAATATTGCCCTAGTTTTAATAACGGGACTCGCGTTAGAATTTAACGCTGCTTCTTCTTCTGTTTGTGTGTTTATTCGTTTGTTTTAAACGAAGACAAAAAAGTATTAGCGATGTCTTCTATCTCACTACGCGCAGACCTAAAGACAGGTAGAAGGTCGACCAAGCCTCCTCTGAGTCCCTGCGTGGCTGTAACACAGCCCGGACAAGTCCGGACGTCGATTGGTGTCAACAATAGTGGACTGGCGGACGGTTAGCGTACAAAAAGCGATCGGTGCCAAGGCACGCATCGAGGCGTCGGGCAATCCCCGCCAAGACAGTGTAATCCCTCTCTGACTCCCTCTCCCTCCCTTCCTTTCTTTCTCTCTCTTTGTCGTCGTTTGTTCTTGCAGTACCGATTGCAAGCGGCGGTCTCCGCGTAGCCTTGTGCCACATTGATGCACGCCGCCAATATTGGTGCATTTCACAACGCGAACCTGAAATATTGACTCCTCAGACTCGAATCAGGAAATGACGCTGGTGTGACACGAATAGGAAATTAAGAACGCGCCTGTGTGAAACTTCCGCCCACGTTCATATGCGATGGAGTGATGATTGCCGGTAGAATAATAGGGAAATAAAAAAAAATCCAGATTCACCATTTCTTGCCGGTGCATCAAATCGAAAAGCCCTCACATGAGGCTTACTACTATCAACTATTCGTCAATTTAATTCTTAACATTCCTTTCCAAAACATCGGGGGAAAAAAGAGAGAGAAAAAAAAAAAAGAGGGAAGTTAACTGATGGTGGTAAGCGCTGGTTGAGTTGCTTAACAACATACGACGGCATTCAAGGGTATAATAAAGGAAGCCTATCTGTCCGTCGTACATGGTATCCAAGGGCAACCCAAGTCAAGGTCGACAGCGTAGTCGCGTCCTCGTGCGAAATATTACGACGTCGATGAGCTCTCTCCCTTCTTCTACCCTCGAGGTGTCTATACTCCGTTTCGCCTTACGATGGACCGCAGCGGACGCTATGGGACATCCCAGCCAATCCACCTCTGCGCATGTATCACGTGACCATACGCCCATCCATCGCTGCTCCCTCCCCGTAGGTCAAGTGACACTAACACGGCATTGGATTGACTCCAATGACTTCTAACGTCCGCAGTGGTCCATGGCAAAGGGAAGCGGAGTACGTATGGAGATAGAGCCCCACGCAACCAAATGAAGCCAAGCATCTTACGTTACGGGAGTTGAGGAGAGGATCGTATACGCGTCATCGCCTTTCAAAGCATTATCACGACGCAGTGAGGCCCTTCGCAATAATGTCACTTGAGTATGGGAAACACGTCAGCAACACTTTTCTTTTTTTTCCGCGGACGCACTGTCGGGTTGCGAAAGTGGAGAAGCTAACGTAGAGGCTATGGGGGAAACTACTATACGTGCCCAGAACATGGCAGAACAACTTGGCAACTGGTTTGTTGTGCGTCATGGCTCAGACATCGCGTTTATCGTCAATGCGTGCCTCCACCATCACATTTTCGTGAAGCCTAAGGAACGACGTTCTAGAAAGGGCGGTTTATTTTGGAATGGCATTGGAAAAGAAAACACGATCTCAATCGCTCCGCCCTCTTCCTTCTGTTTTCTTTTCTACTCGGATTTCTCGCTTCACGAATGCAAAGCGAGTCTTTGCCGCAAACAAAGCCCCCCCCCCCCCCCCCCCCCGCCCATAAATGTGCTTCATTTTTCCAAAAACGCTCAACCTCATCTAGAAAAAAAAAATAAAAAAGTTTTTTGTAGCAAACAATAAAAATAAATAAACACTTAACAGCGATTACGCCGGTCGTGTAGTTTAATTAAAAAAAAAATACGTGTAGCTACCGCCATTAGGAAGAAATGTCTTCGCTGCTCGGCTATTCAGTCAATGAGCAAAGCCAGTATGCATATTCGAGGCGAACATCCGTAGGCGCTCGGTAAAATGGAAAGCAAGAAGATTAGTGGCGCGGTTAGGCGTCCGCGGCTGCTTTCTTACGTGTCTTCTATCATAAAAAGAAAAAAAGAGGAGAGGAAGCGTAGTGACGTCATACTCTGAGGACCTGTAGCTATTTTGCGAGGGCTCCCGTGCGACGCACTTTGATTGCGCCGACGTGTTGCGCTAACACACGGGACAAATTAAGACTTCCGAAGGCCATCCGCGGACTGCACAACAAATGGCGCTTTTTGTTCTACTCTCGGGGAGTTTCCCAGCACGAGCTCGGGGCGGGCCCTCTTCGCGCCGACGAGGAAGTAATTGGACGCCGGAAGTTGACCAACGCCGCTCGAAATCAGCCGGAGGGCGGACGCACACGGTGTCGATACAGATATCTGGGCCTCCGTCCTGATCAGAGTAACGAGCTGAACCGAATAAAAACGAACCTCCTGACTTGGTAGACCAGAGTCTACAAAGTTGGCTTCCCCGAACCGCACACTTCTGAATTTTAGCACCCCGATCACGCGTCCATGCACGACAACGTGCACAGCGATATCGAATATTTCTCGACAATAAGCGGCATGCGCTGCTCTGCCCAAGCCAAGAATTTCTTTAAAAGGGGGAGGGAAGGAAGTGTGTGTGTGTGTGTGGGGGGGGGGGGGGGGGGGGGGGAGTTTCAGCCTTATCGGCTCGCCCCATGGCTAAGACACTGAAGCGCTGTACCAAAGAAGATGCATAGGCTTTCACGTTTCACGATGTCTATTTGGATTCTAGAATAACGGATACTTCCGACGTAGCCTACGGAATGTCTCAGGGCGACATCGCAACGACGTATCCCGGTTTGTGACACGCGTTTTGTGGTCACTGCCGCGTTAGAAGGAACCAGAAAACGTTTCGCCGAGTTTTGCTTCGAACAAAAAAGAGGCTTATATTCTACGGAGGTGAGAGCGAGAGGAATATATCATATATCAGCAATACCCTCTTCCGATAACGCTTTGTTGCATCCAATCAAATTGATTTGTTATCCACATTTGCACCATCCTCGAGCGTTTCACTGTCACTGGCAGCCTATGGGCGTCTAGCAATATCCAGGCGGCGCCACCACTGTCCGTTTGCACTGTCTCCCGCCACGTTTCGTGCACTCTATAGGGACAGTAAGTAATCCAACGGCACGCGGAATCACCAGTCTCATGAAAGCGTCAGGTCACACTGTCGATCGATAATTTCAAACTAGGGCCCTCTCTGGACATTTGTTCGCACTATTGGGGCGGCTGCTAAATTGCCGCGATGTGGCGCAGCGTCAATCTTGCAGCCGCAGTACGGAGGGGCCACAGAACAGCTTGAACAACTCATAGAAGAGAAATCAAAAGACCAAATGCGAAGAGGCGAACGCGGTAATAAATGTCCCCGCCCTATTCAAGCTGCTATCAACATCGCTGTTGAGGGCACAAAGATTTTGTTTTTTACTCTCTCCTAATTATATTTCCTAGTCTTTTTCCGCTCGTAGTTTACGAAATAATAAACGAAAAGCTCCAGCTAAGAGGGGTGCGTGCGACCTTAGATTTTCCCAGCGTCTTCCCCACCTTGGGTGTTTAACCCTCCATTATTTACATCAGACATATAGGAAACCTGCGAAAACATTTGTTCAACAAAACGCTGTTTGCTAACAGGCAGACGCGCATGTTAGTTCCTTCCAAAGTTTAAGGCCTTTCTGAGCGCGCTTCTAAAGCTTACTACGGGAAACAAATTAAGGAAACGACCCCGAAAAGGACGCCGCGCCTCTTGGCATCCTTCTGTTGACTTTTTTTTTTTTTTCCCCTTAATTTACATATTGCTGTGCGAATTGGTTAGGTTTACCTATGGAAGCATATTTGCGGAACGCTTCGTGAAGGCGGGTTTACTAAGTCAAACTTAAGCGAAGAAAGAGCCACGCCTACGACTCGTGAACCCTTTCAGTTAATATACTTTTATTTATGAGATCATTCGAACCAATGAAAAAAAGTGCATTCAAAGTTTTCGCAAAAGTGACTTTGTGCGGTGCATTTATCACATTTAAAGTTCATGAGTGTCGGTTCCAAAAAACAAATATGCGGTCTGAAAATTTTTTTGTTTTCCATGCGCGGCTAGGAAGGAAAACGGAGACAAGCCGTCTTGTTGATGACGTGGGTCAGGGGAGAACCCCCGAAAAACATCGGGGGCACGATGAGCATCTAAAAGTCAATTTCCATTTCTCAAACTCTTCAAAAGGGTTCAACCTGTAACCGTAATTGTCGTCAATACTGCAGTCGCAACATGACCCGTCTAACTATTCATTAAAAATTTAACTACAAGTTTTTTTGTTAATTATCCAACTTATTGGGACAATTACCTCCCCCCCCCCCCCCCCCCCCCCCCCCCCCCAATGAATCTTCGCCTCGTCGTTTAACTTGGAGTCGGTTTAACTCACCCGCACAGACGCGCACTGGCGTAGCTTTCGCTGCTTTCTTTTTTATAACTATCTATAGAGTATTTAAGAAAGAAAAAAAAACACGGCCAATATTTACATTAATGTCAAGAGGATATGTGGGCATGATGCATATATATACTCAAAGGTTAGGTGTTTGGAAACAGGTCTTAGAGCTGCTGCTCTTCGTGGGATGACTAGCACGACATGAATCTGAAATCGAGGGGAAAGTATTTTCACAGAGTAATTTTTTGTGTATTTTTTATTACGAATTTTATTAGGCATATATTCTCGAAAGAGCTTAATCTCAACTGTTAAAAGCGCGCAGTTGGTCTATTGTTCCCAAAGTTTGCTAAGCGATCTGCTTGCTTTTAAATGCCCTCATAGTTTCTTCTCACGTATATCGGGGGCGGGGGGGCGGGGGGGGGGGGGGGGGGGGGGGGGGTGCGAAAGCAGGAGTTTTTAAAGTTAAGTTGATCGTTTACAAACTATAACGTAGGCGAGTGGCGCACCACGGTACCGCAACAGCTGGAAACAGGAGTAGTGTTTCATGAACGACAGTTGCTGTTTTTCGGGGGGTTCTCTTCTATTTATTTTTGCTGCGTCTTTCGAGTATTCGGTGTACATAGAAACCTATTAAAAAAAAAACTTTATTTATTAAAATTTTTGTCAAAAACATATCCTAACTTATATAGGTAAGACGTCGATTAATTTTGTTATAGTCTGAATCACGTGCGATTTTTTTCCTTTTTTTTTTGGTTTTACACAGGTGGTTTTGCTTTAATTTAGGCCGGCCTGCGCAATATATGATGATGCAACTCGCTCAAGTTGAGCGTGCATCATCATATATTGCGCAGGCCGGCCTAAATTAAAGCAAGACCACCTGTAAAAAATAGGATCAAAAATGGCACGTGGTTTGGAAAATAACACAATTAACCCAAGTCTTCTTTCTTCTTTTTTTTTAAGAATCTCGCGTGGTCATTGTTGTATACTGAAATCACAATTATAATTATAACGGAACCTTATTTGCTCCTAACGACAAGCAATTACCGAACATAACAAAAGGCCCGAGACTGCAGGTAAAATACGACGCAAACACTGAAAGGGGTCAAATTGAGGTCTCAAGTTGAGACCTTTTGTGTCATTTTCTTTTTACCTGCAGTCTCGGGGTTTCGTCACGCTCAATGTACACTAGGTCGTTTGCGCACTCAGATTCAGTCCAGGAAACGCTCTCGGTACTTTTTTTTTTTTTTTTTCAGAAATATCAGAGAGAGTTTTTAGCGTTTTCTCCGTGCAACATTAGACATTTTATTCACACGTTTTCCAGCTCTTATACTTTGGCATACGAGGACAAACGCCGCGTGCAACAAGAGGAGTGCTCATTTAGAAACATCTAATTGTGCCGTTTTCATCTTTGCGTTTCCATGCACGTTTTCACCTCAGAAACCGTAGCTAGAAAAAAAAAAAAAGTATACCATGTGACTATCCGCTAGCAAACTGCTATGTTGTGTGCACTTAGTCAGGTGGGATTTTTCTTAAATCTCGAGCGCTTTCTTCGAAGCTCGAAATAATGCAACACATAGAGGCTACCTTGATGAAAGCGACACGTTGGGATGTTTCTCAACATGGGCTACAACTTTTGTATTGAGGGTTTGCGCACAAGCTAATATTTTAAAAAAGTTAGCTCATTAATCTGCGTTACTAAACCACTTACCGCGCATCGCAAAAAAATGTGTATATACTTCGACTCGCTCAAAGGGAATGCGAACAAAATCGCGTCAAATCAACACCACCTATTTCTTCTTTTCTTTTTTCAAGTTTGGGCACAAGTTAGCTGAAACAACCATTAGATAAAATGGCGATGCCTATTTCCCCGCATCGGAAAGGGAGCTCACCTGGGCGTATTTCACGGGACGTCCTGACGGCACGGCGACGAGCAGTCGAATGTCCTCGCGCCCGCGTTGCCTCCCGCGCGGTTGTTGCGGCGGCCTTGTCCCGTGACCACGAGTCGCGCTGGCTGCCGACTGCGTTTCCTCCTCGTGACGTGGGCCCCGCGGCCAGTCGGCTCGGAACGGAGCTCGTCGTGCGGGCTTCCCAGAAGATGCGCCTGGGAAACGCCGAGCCAGCTTTATCTGCACTGCAATGTGAAACACGATGCCGCGCGAGAACTCCGACGAGCCAAACCCGCATATGTATGTCGCGCCGGCGGAACAAATTGCCGACGTAGATCCAGCCGACACCACCGAAAATAATCGAAGCCTGTGCACTACAAGTGTGACGTCATCACAGTGATTGAGGAAGGACACCGATTGGACACGAGTACTACGTCAGCGTCGGGCCGGGCCTCGTGTCCAATCAGCGTGTCGAAGGACGCTCGGCATGGAGCTCGGGTCCAATACTAGTCCTTTTCGGAATTTCGAAATGAGGCGTCGTGCTGCCGTCATTAGTGGGTCATGCGCTACGAGCGCACATTGGACACGAGCGCTTCATCAGCATTCGGAGCGCGTACTCGGATTGAAACGCATTCCACGCGATGCTCGACGCGAACTCGGAACAATCATGGGCTTCACGCCGGAGGTTCCAGGAGAATGAGAGATTGGGTTGTGTGTGTGTTTATACAGCCTAGAACTTGGTCTGCCTCACAGGGGCGACGAGTCTCCCAGCTGTAGATGAGAAATTTAGCCAGTGCGGTGCAGCCGCTAGCGTGGGGTCTTTAACGTGCGTCACGCAGTAGTGATACACGACCGCACGCCGGTACGATGCTCATCCAGATCGAAACGGGCAGGGGTGGGGCTCGAACCCAGGATCCTTGGGTTCTGCAGCGCGAGCTTTCGCTCCACGTGCTCCGAGCTGGTGTGCGCTAGACCACTCGGCCACCGATCCCCCCTCCAGGAGAATGAGGGGGATGTTCGCAGGCCTTGGGGGGTCGGTGGCCGATTGGTCTAGCGCACACCAGCTCGGTGCACGTGGAGCGAAAGCTCGCGCTGCAGAACCCAGGAATCCTGGGTTCAATCCCCACCCCTGCCCGTTTCGATCTGCACTGGCTAAATTGCTCATCTACAGCGAGTGACTCGTCGCAACTTTGAAAATGGCTGACCAACTACACGCTGTATATATATCCACACAACCACCAATTATTTGGCCGACGCAAAACGGCAGACGCGTCTGTCTCAGTGTCGCCGCCTGCTAACCTCGCGCTCGTTGTGTGACGCTGCGAAACACGCTGGCGGCGACGCTGACGCAAGGAAGGTGGCACTGCGTGGATCCACTATGTGATGACGCTTGAGGGAGTAGGCAAGGGGGAATTGGCGCAAATCCTGATTATTTTGGTTGTATTGGTCGATTCAACCCAATGGAATTGTGCTCATTACCCGTGCTTATCACTAGGCAAAAAAAAAAAAAAGGGAAAAAAAGAAAAAGGTGCTGAGCCACTGGGCTGCGGATATTCGACGCACGTGCGGAGTTTGATATATTCCGCGGAAGAGAGCTACTGTACACTCTAAAAAAGTTTGTGCGTCCACTTTCACGCACAACCCTCGGACAGCCAATCACCGCAGCTTACGGAGGCAGCTCAGCGAATGGCAATGCCGAAACATATGTTTAGACCAAAAAACGCAGTCTGAGTTGTGACATTAAGCAATGCAATACGTCACGCTTGCATTGCTTAATGTCACAACTCAGACTGCGTTTTTTGGTCTGAACATATGTTTCGGCATTGCCATTCGCTGAGCTGCCTCCGTAAGTTGCGCTGATTGGCTCTCCGAGTGTTGTGCGGGAAAGCAGACGCACAGGCTTTTTTTTTAGAGTGTAGTAAATACCACGTAGTTAATACAGTGCTCCTCAAACTTTATGACGCCGCCACGAGTCGTATATATACGGTGAAGTTTTGATTCACCGATCAACACAGCCTCCTTGAGGAAGACATTCCAGCTGCTGCAATGGCCAATTTAGCTTTGACTATAGTACGTAATAGCTCGTAGAATACGATTCTTGTACTCTCGCTGAATACTACTTAGAATGACTCCCTAACATTAATAACCGTATATATATATATATATATATATATATATATATATATATATATATATATATATATATATATATATATATATATATATATATATATTGTTACGGGTAAACCAAAAACCGCCGTTCCAGTCTCGTTTCTTCGTCTTCTTCTACCCTTAGTCCACCTCTTCTACCTTCACCGTTACACTCGCCCCTCCCGTGCACTGGGCTGTCCGTCTCGGACAGAAGCAACATGTTCATCGCGCGTTACGTAAAGTTTCAGTTGGCCAACGTGAGCAGTGAGAGTCCGGTGTCTACCTGGTTGAGGTAGCGTCCGAAGCTTCTCGAGGCGATATGTTACCGGACCGAGCTGTTTGCATATTTTAAAGGGTCCGCAGTACCTTGGCATTAATTTCTCTGATCGCTGTGGGCGTCTGAAATGACTTCGAAGAAGCACTAAGTCTCCCGGATTCAACGACGGTCTCCCATTTACTCTTCTTAGACGCCCTGCATGTAGCGACTGCTTGTGAAGGATGGCCAGTCGAGCTCTTTCCCTTGCTTCGATTAATCGGGCGGAAAAGTTACCATCATAGTCTTCTGCCCGGAGGGTCCATGTCATCTCGATTGCTGTCTCCTCTGGAAGCGTGGGGAGTCTCCCGTAGACTAGTTCAAATGGCGATTGACTCGTCGTTTCTTGTTGAGACGTGTTTAGTGCAAACGCGGCTGTGCAGACGTATTGGTCCCAGTTCTTGTGGGACGCGTTGACGAATGCTGCCATTACATCGACCAATGTGCGGTTGGTGCGCTCGACAAGACCATTTGTTTGAGGGTGGTAGGGTGAGGCCGCTGCATGTTGAATCCCGTAATTTCTAAGGGTATCCTTGAAAGAACGCGACATGAACGACGTTCCTCTGTCAGAGATGATCATCCTTGGAGCTCCGTGCCGACACACTAGATGGTTATTTACGAAGCTGACAAGGTGCACCGCTGACGTATCGGGAACTGCTTTGACCTCAACCCACTTCGTTAAGTAGTCGGTCGCCACAATAATGTGCCTGTTGCCAGTATCTGATTTCGGGAAGGGACCAAGGTGATCTATTCCCAATACTTCGAATGGACTCCTTGGGGGTGGTATCTGTTGAAGGTCTGGTTTGCCTAGGTTCGGTGGTGTTTTGCGCATTTGACAAACGGTACATGAAGCGACGTACCGCCGAACGTCGTTCCTCAAACCCGTCCACCAGAATCTTCGCAGGATCTTGTCCAGCGTTCGATGCTGTCCGAGATGCCCTGAGGTCGGAGCGTCATGGCACATCTCCAAGATATTTTTCCTAGCTTTCTTGGGGACAACAGGAAGCCATGGCCCTGAAGCACGTGAACGATGGCAAAGTAGACCATCTTGTAGCTCGTAATGTTTTCGCAAGCAACGTAGTCGTCGTGTAGAAAGTGAAGAAGAATCGTTGCTTCCGACCGTAAGCAACTGAATTATTTCCGATGCTTCAGCGTCTTCCGATTGCATGTGTTGCAGATCTAAGATTGAAGACACAGGAAGAACTTGTAGCTCCTCTACCGGATTACGTGACAAGAAATCAGCATCTTGATGGTACCTCCCACTCCGGTGAACAATACAGAAGTCGTACTCTTGCAGCTTCATGGCCCATCTTGTTAACTTCGGGGTAAGGTCGCTCTTGGATTGAAGCCACCGCAATGCTACGTTATCCGTGACCACCGTGAAACGCTTGCCATAGATATAAGGGCGAAATTTTTCTACAGCCCACACCACCGCGAGACATTCCAGTTCGGAAGAGTGGCACCGACTCTCTGGTTCACTCAGCTTCCTGCTTGCATAGGCGACGGGTCGTTCCCGACCATCCCTATCTCGCTGAAGAAGGACGGCACCTAACCCTTCTCCACTGGCGTCTGTGTGAAGGAACGTTGGGGCGTCCTCCACAAAATGTGCAAGCGTAGGCGGTTCAAGGAGGGATCTTTTCAAATCCTCAAAAGATGCAGCTTCGTCTTTGCCCCATTTCCACTTGGTATCTTTTTTCAGAAGTTGGTTCAAGGGAGCAGCTTTAGCAGAAAAGTTACTGACGAAGCGACGAAAATAAGAGGCAAAACCCAGAAAACTCTTCAGTTGCTTGATGCTAGTGGGTGCGGATATGCTGGCAAAGGCTGATAGCTTCGCCGGGTCTGGCCGAATTCCATCTTTGCTGACCACGTGACCAAGGTAGGTTACTTCACTGTACCCGAAAAAACACTTGGATGGGTTTAGACGTAGTCGAGCGTTCGTGAGGGCGTCTAAAACAAGACCTAGACGTTGCTGATGTTCGTCGAAACTGTCGGCATAGACGATTACATCGTCTAGATAGACTAATGCCATGGTCCATTTTAGACGGCCGAGAACCCTGTCCATGAGACGCTGGAAGGTCGCCGGCGCATTACACAAGCCAAATGGTAAATGCCGGAACTCAAACAGTCCGTCGGGTGTCACAAAGGCTGATTTTTCAGCGTCGTTTGACTCGAGTTCAACTTGCCAGTATCCTGAAATGAGGTCTAATGTCGTGAAGTATTTGCAACCCTGGAGCCGATCGAGAGCATCATCAAGCCGAGGCAGGGGATACACATCGGGCTTAGTAATGCTGTTTAACTTTCTGTAGTCTATACAGAACCTTGTCGAGCCGTCCTTCTTCTTGACGAGCACGACGGGTGATGACCATGGGCTGTTGGAGTGTGCCACTACGCCTCTCCGGAGCAAATCGTCCACTTGAGCACTGATCTCCTGTCTTTCGGAGATCGACACTCGTCGGGGTTGGTGATGTATTGGCGCGTGGTCACCGGTGTTGATGGTGTGGCGAATTAAAGGCGTACATCCCAATTCTTGCTTTGTAATGGCTATACAGTGACGGAACGTTTTGAGTAACGACTGTATGGACTCCCTCTGCGTTGCTGTTAGGTCTGGTCCAAAGTTAAATTCAGTCCACGGAATGTTGTCATCCTTGTTGAGTCTGCTCTCTGGGGTGGGTACCACCGGAGAACATGCAACGGTTGCGATCATGGTCTCTGGCAATATTTCAGAAGCTATTCCT